TCCTCTTCTTCTCCTCCTTAGACCTCTCAACACGGATCATTTTTGTAACTTTCTTTTGAATTCCTCTCAATGCGGACAATTACTAGTTTTTACGATGGCGACACAATAATTTTAGCGGTGTCTTATGTACAAGGTTTATCCATGACCCTCTTCTTCACATCTTTTCATATCTATTATTCAGGACACCTATAATAGTTTTAAAAAAAAAATTCGTCTCTCATTCTCACCTCCACCACTTTGGGGGAGAGAGAATTGAGAATTACCAAAAATTAAGGAGATTAAACTATTCTAAAAAATTAAACAAATAGTGGTAACGAGAGAATTTAATTTTTATTCAAATAATGTAAAATATTGATTGGATAGAACTAAACATTTTTATTTAGTAAAACAGAAATCTAAAAACTTGGTATTTGTTGACGAAATATTTCTTCTTCTTATTCGTCTACTCTTCCTCCTCCTCCTATTTAGACCTTTTAACGTGGACCATTTTGTAACTTTCTTTTGAATTCCTCTCAATGTGGACAATTACTAGTTCTCACGATGGCGACACAATAATATTAGCGGTGTTCGATGTACAAGGTTTATCCACGACCCTTTGAGAATTACCACAAATTAAGGAGATTAAACATTTCTAAAAAATTAAACAAATGATGGTAACAAGAGAATTTAATTTTTATTCAAATAATGTAAAATATTGATTGGATGGAACTAAACATTTTTATTTAATAAAATAGAAATCTAAAAACTTGGTATTTGTTGACGAAATACTTATTCTTCTTCTCCTCCTCCTCTACCTCCTATTTAGACCTCTCAACGCGGATCATTTTGTAACTTTCTTTTGAATTCCACTCAATGCAGACAATTACTAGTTCTCACGATGGCGACACAATAATATTAGCGGTGTCCTATGTACAAGGTTTATTCATGACCCTCTTCTTCAAATCTTTTCCTTTCTATTAGTCCGAACACTTATAACTGTTTAAAAAAAAAATTCCTCTCTCATTCTCACCTCCACCACTTTGGGAGAGAGAGAATTGAGAATTACCACAAATTAAAGAGATTAAACTATTTTAAAAAATTAAACAAATGGTGGTAACAAGAGAATTTAACTTTTATTCAAATAATGTAAACTATTGATTGGATGGAACTAAACATTTTTAGATTCAACGATCAAGTTGGTATTCATGTTGAAGAATACACTCTTGCTATGTATATACAATTCATATTTAGATTCACAAAAAAAAATAAAATATTAAGTTTGTATGAAATCAAACGGAAAACTAAGTTGCTTCCTGATTGTTTGGATTTCAAGAATTACCACACGTGCTTTGTTAAAGATGTTTCTTTAGGTTTTTTTGGCTCTTAGAATTGAAGTTGTGGTATTCCAATAGTTTTGAAACTATTGGGCTGATATAAACTCAATAGTGATGATTTGGTATCTCATGGATTACGAGTCACTATGCTTTTACTTTTAAATGGTGAAATATTGATCATTGAGACCTCCTCGCAGGTAAGACGCGGGCAGAAATGCACAGAAGACGCAGGCTCTTGAAAGACAGATAAGATTGTGGCGACTTTGAATAACAGGTTTGCACGTAGTGCTTGAAAAAATTGGTGAATCAGAATTAATGGTGATAAACTCGATATTGTGCATGACCAAAATTAAAGAGTTTGGTTCAAGGGAGGCTGTTGAAATTTGACCCAAATTTTCTAGTTATCATGAATGAGAGTTTATTGAATAATCAATGTGAGAATCCTATATAGAATAGGATTATATTGAAAAAAAATTAATATACCATAAATAGGTATGTTAGATATGTGATAAGAAAAACAAATATCAAGTTATATCTAAATAGGTTTGAGTTACAGTATTTTATTCCTTTAAATAGGGTTGAGTATTATGTAATCAGTTATCAGATGACCAATTTTTCAATAAATAATACATCGATGTAGATTTTTGATATGTAAATGTAGGTACAGTGTACCAAGATGGTATGCTGTAGCGAAACATGTTATATTTTTGTGTCATATCTTTATTGTTTTCTTATATTTGAATTTCTATCTTCCAACAAATGTTATTTGTGTTAATTTTCTGCTGTGCAAAACCAACAAATAGTATCAGAGGTATGTTTCAACAAGTGGTATCAGAACTATGTTTCAACAATTTTCGTTAAAAATCTTGAACACAAAACTACTTGATTGAAGAATATGAAATTCATATAAAACCAAACAGAAAGCTAAGATAACAACATAATAAATTGAATCTATACAAAACCAAATGAACAAATCGACAATTGGGTACTTGTTGTACGATGAAATTAACCCAAATGTCTATCTTTAAATCATGGTTGCCGACTATGAGTTTAATAATACTAATTAAGGTTAACATCATTTTTGCATTTGATAATATGCCAATTAGCCTCTAGAATATAAGAATATGAAACACTTATTGTACCAAACAAAAAAGAGAAGAACATAAACAAATGGGTAATTTCAAATTGATCGACAAAATAGGGATTAAAAAATGTGGTGTTGACATGTTGGTGCTTTTGGTGCCTTTTTACTTGATTAAAATTTAAAGGGTTAATTACAAAATGTCTCATTAAACTATGGTCTATGGGTCATGTTTCAATCAACTCTCTCATGTTTGAATTTCAATGATTTATCCCCTTCAAGTTCTCCATGGACTAAATTAACTGAGAAATTGTGAAATTACTATTGTACCTTGAATTGTGAAATTAATTAATTGTATTTTTGCTTAAATTTCAGATCATTTGAAATTATTGTTACTAATTTCTATTACATTTGACAGTGGGTAACTAACCGTAAAAGTCAATTTGAATTTTTTTTTTAATTTGATTGGGAAAAATTGTTGAAATTCAAACCTGATGGAGTTGATTGAAACAAATAATCCATAGTTCAAGGGGGTATTTTATAATTAACTCAAATTTAAATTATGCTGACGGACTTAGTATCACATAATGATATTTATTTTTGGCAATATACGAGATTTAGATCCCCTCTAATATAATTTTTACTCATCAAAATTGTATGTGTGCTAGGGAGGTTTTATTTATAAATTGGTTAGAATAATTGCAAGGAAGGCCAAATCGGTCTTTGTATATTATAAGAAGGATTTATCTAGTGATACATATATCTAAGTTAGTGATAGATTTAATGTCTTCAATGGCTCTCTCAACCCATTACTCATACCATTTTCCAAAATTCACGTAGCCTTCTTTTCCTCCGAGTAGATATTAATAATATATTTTTCAAATGTTATTATTTCATTTATTTTCTTGAAATGTTTTTAATCTGTTAACAGTTTAATTACCCATCAATGACTTTGAAATTTGCGGAATATGTGAAGGGAATTCCCCTTGCAAGGACAGCATGAGCATGTATAGAGAACCATGACAACTATGCGCGTCATTTAACTCGTGGTTGTACCATAAACTCCAAACAAACGTAGCAACTCTTGAGCCACGAGAAAATATTCGGTACTTATCAAATATCAAGTTGTTATTGGCATCTGGTACTCATCAATAATCAACAGATGTCATCTCATATTCTGTCATTGGCAGGTATCATCTCATATTCTGTCATTGGCAGGTATTATGCTGTCATTGACAGCTGATACCCATCACCAATCAAAAAATTTCACCCCATTGGCAGTTGGTACTCATTTTTTTTCTCTCCACTGCCTATCTTAAAGTGACATCCGTTGATTAGTGATGAGTACTAGTTGTCAATGACAGTCTGATACTTAATAAGTACTGAATATTTTCTCCCAAGTCACACATTCACACGAAAATCGACAGATGCAAATACTCTCAAATGCATTTTCTCTAAATTATCCTTAATTGTAAATCATGAATTTATGTGGATCCACTTTACATAAGGGTGTTCATGGATTGAGTTAGACCACGAGGCTCATTATTCTCCATAAAAAATAGGTTTGAAATTTGATAGATTTAATGGGTGGGTTGCTCTAACCCGAGTTTAATATTTTTCAAGGGAGGGTTTGAGTTTATATCCAAGCCATTACCTGACCCATTAGCCCACTTGTAAAAACCCATTAAAATTCGGGTCAAGAACCCGCCCCGTCCATTCACTTTAGATACTATAAATAATGTATTCTTTTTTTTGTCATGTATTAAGCATATACGATTTAAAAGATAGAATTATATAAATGATAGATAAGTGAGTAGGTCTCATCCTAGTTGAAATGTGCTGATTCTATTGTGACACAGTTCTTTCATAATTTATAAATAAAATTATTTATTATTTATTTATTTTGTTTATTTTAACTCTACTTTTAATTTAAAAATATAATTTATAAAAATAATAAATTGAATTTTTTTTAACACTCGCCCAATGAGTGACGGGATGTGTTAGCGGATAGTCGACTCTTACCCAAAGATTGTCTTGGTCCGTTTGATAACTCACATAAATAAGAATTTAAGTCTACTCTACCCAGATCTTATCCGAAAAAAATTTCATGACGCTAGTCTAACCCAACTCATGGACACACCTAAAGTTGGCGCCGGCGATACCTAATATATTTTTTATTATTTGAAAAAAAATAAAAAAATATATACCGAAAAAAACTCTAGATCCGTGAATTTGAGAATTCGGATTCCTTTCCCAAGTGAAATTTTTTAAATAATAAACGAAGGTCGAAAATATTTTGAAGAGCCCACATCATATAAAAGCCCATTCCCGCCACATTCTACATACAAACTTCGTTTTGGAAGCTCACGCCACACACGGTCTCCCTCTCTCTTCTTCTTCCTATCCCTCTCTCTCTGTGAATCTGCGCACACTGTCGAGCACTTGAAACTCAAAAGATTTTCAAAAAATTCGAAGTCACAAAAGTGATTCGATCGATCAATTCAGTTCATTTGAATCCACGTTTTGTGCACTTCGTTGATCTCGTTGGTTCTGAATAAGTCAAATTCACTTCAAATCTCCAAAACCTCAACGGTTGATTTGAGAAAATGAAGCTGAAGATCAACAAAGCCTGCGATCTGAGCTCCATTTCAGTTCTTCCTCCTCAAGCTAGGTTCAATTTGACTAAAATTCTTTCAAATTTTCGCATACAAGAACAATTAAATGCTTATAGTATATAAAAATGTCTACGTTGATGCTTACTTTTACGGTGAATTTGCGTTATTTGTTTGTGGTCTCAAAGGAGATCAAACGCAGCGCCCACTGGAACGGAGTCTTCGGTTTTTGGCAAAAGCCAAGCGTCCCAGCTTCGATCGCAGCAGTCCTTTTCGCAGGGACTATCGTCTCAGCATGGAATGTTCTCTCAGCTCTCACAAAACTCTCTCGACGAAATAGTGACGAACGATCAGGTTAACTAACTCTCTCTCTATATGTGTGTGTTCTTGTTTAAGATATTAACGAAGAATTTTAGATATTAGTAGCACATTTTGGTACATTTGTCCAATATTGATAATGATAAGATGTAGAGATCCGTTTTTGATATTTTTTCTCTGTTCGTTGCTTTATTCATTATCAATTGTAGAGTAATTTGAAAATGTTGATATTCTAGCTGTTTTTGTTTGAAATGGTTATGTTTTAATTTGTTCTACTTAATGCTTAAAAAACCAAAAAAGTAAAGTAAAACTGGTTCTGGTTCACTAATATCTGGTTTGTATTGTGCATCTACTTTCTGTTCCACGATAGACATTAAAACTCGATTTCTAGTTCTGGTATGCATATTAGGGTTAACTTGAATGATCAAGAAATAGTTTCTTAGCAACCACCGATGTGACTTACTTATTGGATTAAAGTACCATAAGCTTTCTCACTTAACATGATTGCAATAAGAAATGAGGGAGGATTGCAATTATGTCGGCTATCCTAAAGTGGGAAGGCTGTCCATTTCCTTCCTTTTTCTTTCATTCATGCTCTGTGTGCTCTAAGTAGTAATTTGATGCAAAAGTGAATATTGTCACTGAAAGGACAATACCTGCATAATCATAAGAAAATTTGCATCAGGAGTCGTGGGAAGAGTGGCACCAATAATCTTCCACTTCCACTGGAAACACAACTTTCTTGCTATCCATATGACATGCTTTTCAACCTCTACTGTACTTCAGTTGCCAGTATTTCAGCCTGACCAAATACAATTCTACTTTCCTCTGCATCATTTGTAATTACCCTTGGAGTACGCTTGTCAATGGGAGTATTCCATTGGCTTTGGCTCGCTGTATGAACAGCTCTAATTATCAAAGTTTTAGACTGAATAAGCGAATGGAATTACTTCTGTAATAATGGGATGGTGGAAGCACTTCAACAATTTTATGCCCATAGTGTAGCTCTCACTAACTTGATCAGTTATGTAAAGTTGTAAACCTTGATTTCGGATTCAGGGCTTAACAAAATGTCGTTACTTCTCAATTCTTTTTTATTTAAATCTCATTTCCGTGTATCCATTTTTCATTTTATGCAGGTACATAGGTTCACAGGCTTGCGAATGTTCTAGAGACACAAAATAATTTGCTTTCAATTCTTGGAGTTTTAAAGAAGAATGTGCTCATGCGGTGATTTTTACCTTATTTCCTTTGATAAGGATAAGTAAGAAAGTGCTTTAAATTCTATTCTAAACGCTTAGTGAGAGATCCCTTTCATCAGAAAGTCACCCCGCGCCGGGGGTGGGGGGGAGGTTTGGATTTTATTTGCCAACTCTTGACAAATACAAGTAAAGAAAAGGACACAAAATATAATTTTTTACCTTATTTAGCAATTATGCTCTTTTTCTTCTTCCACCTTAGTAGGAATGAACATGGATATTTGTCTTTGCTACTAACGTTGCAGAGATTTGGTTCTCAAGAAAAGGAGAGTTCAGTGAAGAAGATAACTTGCTTGCCCCCTATCAATCATTCACGAGAAGAAAGTCAAATGTTGATACCAAGATCTTCCACTAATCCAATGCGCAAATGGAATTCAGCTTCCCTTCCAGACCATGCATGTGGGTTTACAGATTAGACATAAATGGATATCTTCAGCTTATTTGTGATTTTGAGTTAATTCATAACATTAATCCTCAAACACTAGATTCAAAACAAAAGCTCAGGTGCTTTTTGTTTAGACTTTGAATTAAAAAGATGATTATAACGTGTCCTGACTCAAACGGATATGCCTTTGCATGGAATTCCAAATTTTTTGATTTGCATGAGCAGGTCAGATAAGTGGAGAACTCGATCACAGGATTGGAATGATGGAAACTTCATTAAGCAGGTTTGGAATGATCTTGGACTCCGTTCAGAGTGACATCATGCAAGTTAACAAAGGAACAAAGGAAGTAGCACTAGACAGTAAGTATTGCAAATTGTCAATAATAATCCGCAGGGATTACTGAGAGATGTATTCTATGAAATACTGGTAGATTCTACGTAAGAATTCGTGGGCTTTGACTGTGGAAGAATGAAGAAGAAAGAGTAGATTTTGGATTTTCCATGCATGCAGTTGAGAAGTTTTTGATATAGTTTAGCTCATTTCTTTTCCTTTCTGCAATTAATCCAGTGGAAAGCATACGGCAAAAGTTGATCATTCATGAAAACGTGCTGCAGCAAATGGTAATAACGCCATAGTCAGTCTTCATACTTCGTGCCTCTTGTTTCAGAAGTTTATGAATGTTGTCGCTAACCCAGAAATATGATGAGCAGAATAAGGGACGAGAAGTTATTCAAACCAGCCTTGATGGGGGCTTGAAATGTATTTTGGATCAACTCAACCAGGATAAACATCGAGAGAGTTTATTGGAGATTTTGTCAATGCTGTCAGCTTTACCAGAGAAGATTGAAGACTGTGTAGCAAAATTACAGAACAATCTACGCGAGAATTTCACCAAAGAATTGCAGGCATGTATAATTTTGAATTTGATAATGCTCTGGAACACTTGCAGAAATTCCAAATATTTCCTTGAGATGAGGTTGAGAAGTGTTTAGTTATATTTTCGTACCACTATTAGTAGCTTACGAAATGGTTAACATATTATAAGTTTAATTAGCAGGCAATGGCTTGCAGCATGAAGATTACCAATCAAAAAAGTTCAACTTCCACCATCCTTCCTTCAAAGGTACTTATTTTCTTTGGACATACTTATTAGATTTTTCAGGAACCCAATTTACTACAAGATGCTTGCTACAAACTTTTTGCATGTGCATCTTTGTAGGGTATTAGTTATCGAGCCAGTCCACAGGAAATGCCATCTCTCAAGAAGTATGTTGTAAGAGTCCTTTATCTTTTAAATCAGCTTCTTGGATGTTGTTAACTGCTGTCAACACCCATAACCTTGTAAATGTGGTGATCTCCCCTATGATATTTGGAATGAAGCAGTTTGCAGCTTAGTAGACTGGATTTTTCTTCTCTGTTGGGTTGTGCAGTGTAGTCTTAAGCTTGAACTGCATTTGATTTGAAAGCATTTGGCATTACTATCTACGTCACAGATTCCCAAAAGTCTATTATATAGCTAGTCCAATCACTATCATAATTCTTACAATGATTATGGACATCGCGTTATAACAATTTTTCCTGTACTGAACAATTAGCTGGACATCAGTATATTATGTATGTCTAATTGTTGTGCATTTTATCTCTATAATATTTCTCAAATGTCTTAGAAAAATCATAAACCACAGGTTGGATTTTTTGTGCCCACAGACTTATGCTGACTTCCTATTTGAGCTGATTATGATATCATGAGATACTATTAGAGAACATATTCACAAGTAGCGGAGCTATGTTGATGTGTTTTGTGTCTGTGTTTCTTAGATAGCATAAAAATACATAAGAGGGCTACTGTGTTGTATCTGGTTGCCAATGTTAGACGTTCATTAACTTTTTCCACTTGGTAATGTTAGAATCAAATCTTAAGGTTTTGTTTGTGTATTGATTCTCAGCCTTTAACTTCTCCTATTCTTCACCTTCTGATTTTCAAAGTACACAGGGTTATCTTGTCATCGCATTTTCAGTTTGATTTTAGTGTCATATCTGCCTCTAGTCTTGCAAGAGACTAAAAGAGCCTTGATTGATTTTAGTAAGACAGTGCATCCCAAAATACAAGCAGCTAGTTTGGTTCCAAAGATAGAAATGGGGAGCTGGAACTCCGTAAAACATAAGCAAGCTACCTCCACAAATAGAGATTCCAATAACGGACACAAACAGAAAAGGGCCTCTCCCATTGGTCTGGTAACTCTCAGTTGCTATTTCTGCATGTCCTTTCTTTTTGTATTTTGGTACTGTTTTTCCTTTTTGGGTTTGGGGAGTACTGTTCAGGAGCCTATGACTTACCCGGATTGTCAAATTTTTCTTTCATTCTACTGCGATATTGGCAGTTGAAGCTGAGGGGTACAACATGCTAAGGTCCCCTTATCTGGAAATAATTATGCTTGCATTTTAGAAAACCGTCTTATATTGTCTTATATCTTGCTTTTATGGCTGAAGTTAGACTTCATTGATGCAGGATAGAGAATGGAGAGCAATCGTTGAATCAGATGAGGAGATTGAAGGAGGTTTTTCCTGTTTGCTAGAAGAAAAGGAAATAGGTGAGTATTTTGAAAGCTATAATGCAGGCTTTCATTCTTTTCCTTGTACTAATTCAAGCATCTAAAGGAAAAGCAACATGTCCGAAGGTATCAGTCACTATGTTTTATATATGTAAAACATAATAAGTACGGGAAAGCAAAATGTGTGGAAAGTCAAAAACTTCTATTACACAAGAAACTGCTACAAGGAAAAGAAACTTACCATTCTACAGGTTGTTTCATTCCATTACTGAGACACATGAAAAGTGGAATGGTTGTCTCGAAACATGATAAAATAAAACATTCCATTTTAAACCATTATGATTTAAGATTATTGAAAATTGTCTGATTTTGACAAGTTATAGGAAGCTATTCAATAGAAGCTGCTAAGGAAGCAAGTGAGCGAATTCTGAGAAAAGCAAGGAGGAGAAAGAGAAAACACAGTAACCTTATAATTTTAAATTGAAGGTATGATCACCCTTTATATTTCTGCTACTTCCATGTTCTATGCATATTAATGGTACAGTTGGACATCCCGTTTAAACGAAATCTTTTTACTGATTATTCATCAGTTTCTATAGGAGCTTAATGGAAGTAGTCCAGTTATATAGACAGTAGTTCCCCCGAGTATATATTGTAAGTACTGGGGTGGCCCCACAATACCAGCTTATATATTCATTTTCGTTTATCTTTAGTTGCACTCTACCATGGCTGGGGGAACATGATGGTCTATTGCAAACATCAATGTGGTTGTCCCAAGGTGATGAAATGTTTAGGGGCATAAATCCTACAACATATCTACAAAAAACAGGACTTCCTATGGAAACACCGACTCGTTTGGTCTGTATTATGGGGATAAATCATTGTATTAGATTAAAATTTGTCTAATCATGTCTTATTCTACGTTTGTTAGTTAAATTTGACTACGTATTATGTATAGTATTATTTTAAATACGTACTAGTAGGCCTTATATAGTAACATTGCAAATAATTTTTTTATAGTTTTTTGTCCTTATGATTTAGACTTGATCAAAAATAATGCACCAAACTAGGTATTGAATTAGAGTGGATACAGGGCATTTATGTCATTACAACATTAATAACTTAGAATAAATGACCTATCTAAACACTAGATAGGATTGATAACTATTATCCAGTGTTTAGTCCTTACATTGTTGAACATATGATTGAAATGTGTAATATTTCAATATTTTATTTAGTTATATATTTTGTTCATTTATACAATATTAGATTGTATTATGTAATACAATCTCTTTTTTCTTAATATGAAAACCAAACAAATTCTAAATATATCATTTTTTTTCATGGGAGAAAGTATCCTAGAAACAATAAAAAATTTGGGTCTTCTTCGCACTAGAGTTTTGATGAACATCTCTCATTGTCTTTATTCGTCGGCAAAGGCGACACATAATTTTTAACATTTTAATATGCTTTTTTAAAAGGGCACTAAATGTCTTTATTCGCGCTAAATGGCTTTTACAAGGACAAAGCCATTTAGATAATGTAATCATGATTCATCATAATGTACATCTTGAACCAGTGAAAGTCGTAGTTTAATTTTGCTCATTGTAAACTGCTTTTCTATTTTATTTCTTTGAAATCACCTATCTTGTCTTACCCGGGAGATCCAGAAAGTCTAAGTCTATCTATTCAATTCCATTATTGACACACTTATTATTCAATAATATAAGGTCATAGATAAGCATCCAGCAAAACCCTATATAAATATATTAATAATAACTCCTATTTTATGAATCTAAAGATACTCTGTAATTTCCAAAATTGAACATTAAATAATAATTTCTTTTTTCCTTTTTTTTTTAATTGTGTAATCTAAAATAAAAAAAAAATAGGGGAGAGAGTAAAAAAAACATGTATGGAATTAGTGGATTATTTAGCATTGGAAAGTTTATTGATCGAGTTGTTTGATATTAGGAGTCGTGTAAAGATATTTTTGAGTGTTTTTTTTTTATGATGAATTTGGTACCATAATTCATATAATGAATCATTATTTCCAAAGCTTCCTTACGCCTTAGTTTTCAAACTCATAATAATTCTAAAATAATAGACAAATATTGCACCACATAATCTTCGTTACTTCAATAAGTAGATTGCCACTAACGTTTGTTTTTCCTTGATAGAGTTGGGGACTTGGGGATACTTTCAGGACATTGAGTGCCCAAAAGTGGGAGCATCCAATGCTTAAAGAGAGTGGTTGAAACGAGAATATCCAAAACCCTCTCTTGGAGAAACTAGCCCATCCACCTTATAAATTCATGAAAGCTAAGCTGTAACATACAAGTTACCAATTTTTATTTTGTTCCTATCACAAGTTAAATAATAATCATCACCAACTTAGGTCAAGTAGCATTTCTTTATGTAAGACATATAAAATACTAATTTTAGGGAAAAATAAAAAGAAAAGATACCAACCTTTTTTGTAGAAAAACTCTACACAAAAAATTGTGTCAAGTTCATAAGTTTTCATCTATAATAGGGTATGATAAAGCTATATGGTATACACTAGACAGGTTTACCCACATTTTGGGGAGATTGATTCTCGAACTCTAATGTGAGTTGTCAACACTCTAGATTTAATCTCTTAGATAAACTTCTAATAATCTTTTGAAAGCAAGAATCTAAAACTGAGTCAATTATTCTTTCAATCTTACAGTATTTTATGTAGTTCTTATAAATTCAATGTGTGCAAGTGTGGTCAGACCATTGAGTTTGGATACTTGATTGATGTGGTAATGGCATGTAGACAGATTACTGGCAACTTGAAGTTGCACCAAATGGGCCCTTAATTTAGTGTTGGTGGCTAAAAATAGACTTTAACCCAACATGACAATCCATATAAGTGATCTAAACTTTAGATCTGAACAATATATTTGCTTTGGAGACAAGGGTTGGATGAACATTAAATAGCACCCATTACCCACCATCATGACTATGCAGATGAAAAACATGGGAGTGGAATGATTGAATTTAGATAGGAAATGAGTGCTTGTTGTTGTCCTTTGGGTGTTAACCATTCGACCATCCCTCATAATCATATTGAATGTCTTCTAGGGCAAGCAAGGAGGAAAGTTAATTGAAGAATAATAGATTTGGGTCTTCTTTTTTTTCGATTTTTTCATGATATATCATTCACCTTCTATTGGTAGAGGTCTAGTAATGCCAGTGAATTTCAATTGAATTCATTGTGGTACATTACATTAAACAAAATGGAGAAAAAGTGTTATTAATGGGATCTAGACCCCAATATGAGATTGCAAAGGGGACTTCAATGGCCTGCAATATATCACCATATCCTTCAATTGTTTGTATACATCATTTATTAGGAACTCAAGTGGGATTTTCTTATATATAAGCGAGTCTCTTATTAATATATTAAGAATGATCTATTACTATTGAGTGATTGGTCTTGTGGGTAATAATTCAATTTTTTTGCTCAATGTTTGGGTTCAAGTTTTCGTAATAGTATAGATAATTGTGTAGTATAGATAATCAATATTTTGTCACGGATAAGTTAAGTGATTTATTTATGTATCTATTTTAAGCACAAAAAAAAAATATATATCATCTTAAAAAGAGGACGTGAATAATTCATGCCAAAAGTCTAAATCTCTATATGGTAGTTCAACATTAAATAACAAACCTAGATCAGACAATAAAATGACACCCTCTTTGTAAGGCAACTCTGTGACAATTAAGGGCATCCTAAGCCAACCGTTGTTTTGTGTAACTAAAGTAAGCTGTCAATGCTAAGATTATAATCAGTGGTCCCCCTTTGGTAGCGCAACAGCTTTTCTTAGCTTAAAACAAGCAACAATATCGATTACTTCAACGAATTTTTAGAACTTGAATGCCAGTTTGATGCCATTATCATTATTATTATTTGTCATGAGCCAACAGCTTTGTTGACTTAAATTAGAGGACAGCATGGTAATTCTAAGAACGATGTCTATGTTTCAATTTACGTTAATTATTCCTTTGAGTTTGGATAAAAATATGTCTCTAAAGAACAATGGTGGTTAATTATTATGCTCCGTTTGATAGAGAGGATAAAAAGTAGGAGAAATATATTTTCTTTCCTTCAAGGATGGAAAGTATGACAGATATACTTTCCTTCCTTTGTGTTTGGTTGGATGGATGGAAAATAAAAATGATTATTATTATTTTTTTTTGTGTTGGCTAAGATTAGGGGTGACAATAAAGTCGAGTCGTGTCGTGTCAAATTCGTGTTGAGTCATTACGAGTTTGTGTTGAATATTAGTCAAACTTAATTTAACTCATTTAACTAATTGTGTCGTGTTGAGTTGCGAGTTGACCTATTTATTTTCGTATCGAGTTCGAGTTGTGTTATTGTGTTGTGTCGAAAATTTTCACCCTTAGTTAAGATGGAAAAAATATTTTTTTAAAATTTAATTTTTTTTTAAATTAAATTTTAAAATATATATACATATTTTAACATTGTATTTTTATATGAAATTAATGTATACATAAGATATATAAATAAATAAAATACATCTCAACACAAATAATTAACTTTTTATCCACTTTCCTTCTGATTTTAGTGAGTTGAAAGGAAAGTTAATTCATCTACTTTTCTTCCTTATCAAACATGATTTATTTATCCCCCAACTTTTTATCCTCTCATTTTTTCATTGTACCAAATGAAATATTAGAGAGTCTAGAAAGTATTGAATATGTGATATCTAAGTTGCCAAAAGTTAAGTTTACTCGCTAAATCACTCTCAAAGATAAACAATGATATATATATTTAGTGATAAATATATCAAACTTAAATGACTCGAAATTTATTGGGTTTGGTGTAGATCCTTCAATTCTTTTTGAATGATCAGGAGGTTTTCACATCTGCAAATCTTCAATTCAAATGAATACTTTCAATTACTATCAATTTACCACCAAGTAGGGTGGTCTAGTGGGTTATCGGCTTTATTGCTCATCTTGAGGTTAAAAGTTTGAATTTTAGAATTTCCATTAAGGTTTGATAGTTGACCGATATGTTAGTCTAGTTAGGCTTGATGTTCCGAGCGCGGTTAGGATTCTTATGATTCTACCGATGAGGGCCTATCGAGATGGTCACTGAGCGTTCTTCTTTGCCTCTATCCCCCTTTCTTCAAGCAAAAAAAGAATAAAAAAATTACTAACAATTTAAATTACATTGAATTTTATGATGTCAATAGACTCTTACCATTTAAAAATAATTGGGAAATACTTTAATAGTTTTTTGATTGGAGATGAGCTAAATATGGAGTGGCAATAGGGTAATCTTTTTTATTAATATCTATTAATTTCATTTTTCACACGTGTTGCTTAATAATTGGGCTCTCTTGAAATCTTTTATAAAAATGATCATAGTTATGATCATTATTATCATCCATAATCCAAGTTTTTATAAAATAGACAAAATGTGGT